GTATGTGCCCTAACAAAGATCTCTCTAAAAAATAAAAATAATAAAAATAAAAAAATAGTGATAGGCAGAATAGCTACTGCCGTTCAGTATATTGAGATCACAGTATCCTCTGCTTCGACCACACCAACAGATGTCCGAAATCCTGTGTGTGTTCATAGGACATTGATAGGAAAGAGCTTGGTCCAAATGGGGGAGGAATGACTGCTTCTGCAGCCTTTCTTGCCCCCATCCCCAAACACGTGTTTGTCTGCTTTTGTTTACTAAAATTACTTGCAACACTTCTGCCAGGTTAGAAGAAAGACTTGGTTTACAACAGATCTCTGATAGTCAGCATTCCAGTTATTATCACTGACATAGTTGCCAAGTGGTCAGGTAGAATCGAGAGTTCTCGAAGCTATTTTCTTTTCTTTTTTTTTTTTTCTTTTCTTTTTTTGGAGAGGTTTTTGCTATAAGGGCGCATGTGCTTGCTAGAAAGACAGAGAGAGAGACAAAAAGTGAGAAATCACCCCCCAGGGGAGTGACCATGCTGCATTCTCTTCTCCTTCATTCTCGTCTTGGGATCTTGGGCACACACAGACACATGACGTGCACCTGACTGACGTGAGTTCAAGCCACTGGGTCTGGGACTCAAACTGCAGACTACATAGGAGTCCAGTGACATAGCCATTACACCAACTGCTAGTCCCTAGAAGCTGTATTCTTGAAAAAGAAAAGAGTACTATTCCTAGTAGCAAATTATACAAGGAGATCTCAGATAGTTGATAGAAAACTGGAATTAAAAGTATGAGTTTAATTTGCTGCAAAATAATTTTATTTATTTATCATTAATCAAATTGCCCCACAAGGGGAGTTTTATTGATTACTTTATTTCTTCACCAAAAGACCAACTGGGGACCAGCAATTGGCGTAATGGCTATGTCGCTGGACTCCCATGTAGTCAACCACGGTTCACATCGTAGACCCGGTGGCTTAAAACTCAGGTCGGGCGCGTGTGTGTGCTTGCCCAAGATCCCTAGAGGAGAATGGAGGACAAGGGATTGTGGCGTGACCATCCCGCCTGGGGGGTGATTTCTCGCTTTCTGTCTCTGTCTCTGTCTGTCTGGCGAGCGCACGTGTCCTATAGCCAATAAATAAATAAATAAATAAATAAATAGAACCAACTGTAATCAAATGAGGTGAACCTTCATCTTAAGATTTTATTGTGTGGGACCAGCAGTTGGCGTGGTGGTTAAGGTGCTGGACACTCCCACATGGTCAGCCACGGTTCGAGTCCCAGACCTGGTGGCTTGCTTTCTCACTTTCCCTCCGTCTCTTTCTCTCTGTGTCTCAATCTAGTCAAGTTAAAATAAATGAATGAATAAATAAAATTAAATAATAATTTTTTTAAAAAAAGATTTTATTGTCTTCATAATAAAAAAGATGAAACTTAGAACTAGATCACTTGATCCTTTCTCCTCTTGTCTCCTCCCAGTTCAAAATGCTTGTATCTCTTAATAATAGCCAGCATTCTCTTAGATCTGCAGTCAGACTCACACATTCAAGCCTCAGCACAATCTTCTTTGTAGTTTTTGGCTTTTACTCAAAAAAAGACTTAGTCTGTCCACCATAGCCGCTCTGTTTCCTCTCATAACACCACTTTCCCTGGGCATACAGAGAACCCATGTCCTTTTTCTGTATTATGTCACTTTATGAGGTTGGTGCTTGCCACACTTCTTATAGAAAGACTCTTGGATTTTAGGGATGTTCACCATGTTTGCTGGTATGCTGTCTGCACAGAAAAAAAGGGCAATAAAAACCTTTTAAATCTATCAATAGTTTTGTTATAATATACATTTTCCATAAACTTTTTGAAGGCTCCCCCCTTGAATTCAGAATAAATACATGTTCCAGAATGTTCTTTAAAAAATAAGGAGTCAGCAGGTGGTATGTTGTTTAAGGCACTGAACTCCCACATGGCCGACTGCAGTTTGAGTCCTAGAGGCTTGCTTTCTCATTTTCTCTCTCTCTGTCTCTCTTAGCTTCTCTCTAGTGAGTGCACATGCCCTATAGCATATTTTTAAAATAATAAACAAAATTATTAATTATTAAATAAATTATTTTTAAAAAAATTCTAGGGACCACCTGATGGCGTAATGGTGACATCACTAGACTCCCACATGGTCGACTGCTATTGGAGTCCATACGTGGTGGATTAAAATTCAGACCAGGTTGGGAACCAGCAGTTAGCGTAATGGCTATGTTGCTGGACTCCCACATAGTCGACCGCGGTTCGCGTCCTGGACCCGGTGGCTTAAAACTCACGCTGGGCGCGTGTGCGTGCGTGACCAAGATCCCGAGAGGAGAATGGAGGAGAAGGGATTGCGGCGTGACCATCCCCCCTGGGGGGTGATTTCTCACTTTCTGTCTCTAATGTCTCTCTCTGTCTGTCTGGCGAGCGCACGCGCCCTATAGTGAAAATCTCAAAAAAAAAAAAAAAAAAAAAAACTCAGACCAGGTGCATGTTACATGCATGCCCAAAATCCCGAGGGGAGAATGGAGGAGAAGGGATTGCAGCGTGGCCATCCCCCTAGGGGATGATTTCTCACTTAATGTTTCTGTCTCTCCAGCAAGCACATGTTCCCTATAGCAAAAAATCTCTCTCTAAAAGAAATGAAAATAAATTCTAATAGGAAGGTCCCTGTACTGGGTATGTAGGCACTGATAAAGAAATACAGACCAGGGGCCTTTCTTTGACAGTGGCACTGAGAAAAGCATACATGAGAAGCAGGTTGTATCTTTTTTTATCTGGGCCCCTGAGGTTTCATGATCCTTTTGGAACACTGTGGAGACTTTTCTGGAGCTACCTATTATATCTTCTAAATTTCCATTTTCCCATCCATCACCTTCATAGGTGCAGAGACCGAGGCGTATTGGGTCTTTGCACCATAACTTTAATATCTGGGGTCTGCCTGGCACAGAGTAATGCTGGCTTGTGCTGGCTGAAGGAATGAATTCGTCCTACTTTAAGAGAAGTTGCCAACCTAGGCTATTCATCACCAGAACCAATTGATCTTTCTTTTTCTTTCTTTCTTTCCTTTTTTTTTTTGGAGAGATTTTCACTGTAGGGCGCGTGCGCTCACCAGACAGACAGAGAGAGACATAGAGACAGAAAGCGAGAAATCACCCCCCAGGGGGGATGGTCACGCCGCAATCCCTTCTCCTCCATTCTCCTCTCGGGATCTTGGACACGCATGCACACGCGCCCGGCGTGAGTTTTAAGCCACTGGGTCCGGGACACGAACTGCGGTCGACTACGTGGGAGTCCAGCGACATAGCCATTACACTAACTGCTGGTTCCCTTTCCTTTTTTTTTTTTTTTAAGAATTATTTTTTTGGGATCTGGCAAGTGGCGTGGTGATTAAGGGTGTTGAACTCCCACATGGCCAACCACAGTTTGAGTCCCGGGCCTGGCAGCTTACTTTTTTACTTTCCCTCTCTGTCTCTTTCACTCCATCCCTCTCTGATCAAGTTTAAATAAATAAATAAAGTGGAATAAAATGTTTTTAAAAGAGTTTTAAAACAAAGAGTTATTGGGACCAGCAGTTAGCCTAGTCAAGTGACATAATCATTAGACCATCTGCTGCTCCTAATACTTACAGTTTTAAAGAGCCTTACTTTGGGAGGCTCTATGAAGCCCTCAAAGTTTGGGACTCAAACCACATAGTCAGCTATGTGGGATTTAACTGCCTTAACCACCATGGCAGCTGGCTGGCCCCATGTTTTCTACCTTAAAATTAAATCCCTTGTAATGATAGAGAATATAATTTGCTAAATAAGTTTACATTTTCAGTCCGCAAATATTGATGAGACTTAAGTGAGTTTTTTGCAAGCCCCTCTCAGGGACGAAGTGTGCTGTCCCAGAGCACCCAAGGTGAGGACCTCAAAGCTGATCCACATCCTTCCTTCTGCTCTGAAGGAACCAGTGTGGCATGGGAGGAGTGTCAGTCCCAGAGACCAGGCTCAAGGCCAGCTGTAACCTTTCCTGGAGAGCATGTAGGGAGTAAGAATGCTTGTCCGCCCAGCACACAGGGGACGTCGCAGATCAGTGTAGGGACAGGAGAAGGCACTTGTGTTTTCATCAATTTCATCATCTTCCTGTCTGTGCTTTTTAGTGTTGGCTAAAAGTTCTGGCCTTATTGAGGTCTCTGTCCTTGAAAGCTCTGACTCACAGCCACCCTCTGAACCTTCCTCTGGTTCACAACTAAAATTAGATTCTCGTTTGGGAGGCTGACATAGTTTCTGTACTAAGGGAGGTTTTGTCTTACTAACCTGCCTGTCTGATGAGTCTGAGTATTCAGCTGGCCTTCTTGACTGAAGCAGCCTTTGAACTGATGCCTAGAATGCATGCCTCCCACTCCCGGCTTCCTCACAGTCTATAGGACCTTTCCCCTCAGCTGGAAGCTTCCGTTCCCCGCACCCCACACTTACACACACTTCACTCTGTTGTGTTTCCTCAAATAAGCTTTCCTGACACCCCCACAGATGGTGTCAGAGCCCCATTACACTATCAATTACAGTATCATAGTAACTTAATTATTTGATTGATTATTATTTGTTGCATAAATGAAAAGTAGTCCCCTTTAATTAATTTACTACTTTCTATAGAGTAAGTTGGGCTTTTTTGTTTTGTTTTTTAGTTTTGCTATAGTTTGTGTGTACTCACTGGAAAGAGAGAAAGAGGGAAAGTGAGAAGTCACCCCCGGGGGGGTGGCCACGTTACAGTCCTTTCTCCTTTATTCTCTTCTCTGGATTTTGGGCATGCACACACTCGCAATGTGATTTTCAAGTCTCTAGGTCCAGGACTCAAAACCACATAGTCAACCATGTAGGTAGGACCCAATCTCCATAACCTCCATGCCACCTGCTGGTCCCCAAAAAAAATGTACTGGTTATCATGTGAATGATTTATTATAAAGAAGATTGCCTTTATATATAACTTACCTTCTTTTTCTTTTTTCCAGTGCTCCTGAAATTCCGCACAGATAAAGGAAGAGATCCCAGTTCTGATACCTTTGGGGAAGATTCCGAATTATTGCTCCAAATACGAAATGATGTACTTGACTCGCTAGGGGTTAATCCTGACCTGCTTCCTGAGGACTTTGTCAGGTTGGTGTCAGTATGTTTCACAGTTTAGTCTGGACAAATATCTGTTTTCTGTTTTTCATCTACTTTGGGAAGATCTTTTATAGAGACCCAGAACCCTGAGGAGTATTCCATTCTGCCAACTCCTATAGACCTCAGCCTCCCCACCGCAGTAACAGTATCTGGAAACTTAAGAGAAGTACAGAATCTCTTAGTTTTTTATGCTATTGGCCATGGGGATTTAGAAAGAGAATGAAAAATCACTGCCCAAGGTGAATGACCACACCACAGTCCCTTTCCCCCATTCATCGCTTGGGATTTGGGTCATGCATGCATATCCTCCTAGTTGTGTTTGCAAGCCACCAGGTTCTGGATTTGAACTGTGCAGTCGGCCGTGTGGGGGTCCAACCTCTGTGCTGCTGGCTGGCCCAGAATCTTTTTTATGATGTGTGTTTTTATATTCACAAGACTCTAAGATTAGGGCAATAGATGATCTTTTATTTTTATTTATTCTTTTTTTGGAGATATTTTTGCTATATAGGGTGCGTGCACTCGGCAGAAAGAGAGAGACAGAAAGCGAGAAATCACCCCCCAGGGAGTGTGCCACACCACAATCCCTTCTCCTCCATTCTCCAGGATCTTGGGCATGCACACGCACACACCCAGCATGAGTTTAAGCCACCGGGCCCAGGACCGAACCATGGTCGACTACATGGGAGTCCAGCGACATAGCCATTACGTTAACTGCTGGTCCCCATGATCTTTTTAAATTTTTTTAAGAGAGATTTTTGCAGGGCCAGCAGATGGCATGGTGGCTAAGGCACTGGATTACCACATGGCTGATGAGGATTTGAGTCCCAAACCTGGCGACTTGCTTGCTCACTTTCTCTCTCTCTCTCTTTCTCTCTCTTTCTCTCTCTCTCTCTCTATCTCTATCTCTGTCTCTCTGGTCAAAATAAAAATAAATGAATAAATTAAATCTTTGAAAAAGATATTTTTGCTATACAGAGCATGCATTCACCAGAGAGACAGAAAGCAAGAAATCACCCTTAAGGAAGGATGGCTGCGCCACAATCCCTTCTCCATTCTCTTCTTGGAATCTTGAGCACACATGCATACACACCCGCTGTTTAAGCCTCTGAGTCTGGAACTCAAACCACTGTGGATTATGTGCGAGTCCAGCAACGTAACCATTATACCATCTCCTGCTCCCAGAGCAGTAGATGATATATAAACAGTGTTCTTTGGCTTTCTTTTTTTTTACTTTACATTGGGCCAACATAATTTTTTTTATTGAATTGTTTATTTAATTTTAGTTGTTGTTATTATTATTATTTTAATTCACCAGAGAGAGACAGAGAAAGATATAGAGGGGAAAGCGAGAGAGCAAGGTACCAAAATCTCTTTAAGATTTTTTGCTATAGGGCACACGCACTTGCCAAAGAGACAGTCAGAAAGTGAAAAATCACCCCCCAGGTGGGATGGGCACACACGTACACGCACCTGGCATTGAGTTTTAAGCCACCAGATCCAAGACTCAAACCATGGTCAACTATGTAGGAGTCCACCATTGTAACGATTATGCAATCTGCTGGTCCCATAAAGGATGTATTTTATCATTTGATAGATACTGCCACTTCACCCTCTATTGGCAGCCTGATGGTTTATAACCCCAGCAGCAAAGGCATCCGTGTTCCCACCATCCTGCCCCTTGGGCAATGTGATGCTTCACTGTTGGTGACCAGTCTTTGACTCTTCTACAGAGTGAACGTTAAAATTGGATTGGAGAAACCCCAAGGATGATTAAGTCATAAACTCTTCCCAGGCAGTTTTCAGATCATTTGCTTGTTCTGATTACCTTTCTGTGTCTGGGAATTTTTCAAACTCTGTTTTCCTGTATACTCAGGTTGTAGCAGGAATCATGATAGCTACAGTTTATTGAGCTGCTGTTACCTATCAGGCACCAGGATAATTGCTTTTATACATGATCTCTCTTTTTTTTAAAAAAAAAAAAAGAAGAAGCATTTATTTTTAATTGTATTTATTATTTATTTTAATTTGAGCAAGAGACACAGAGAGGGGGGCGGAGGCGGGAGTGAGAAAGCAAGCCACCAGGCCCAGGACTGGAACCATGGTTGGCCGTGTGGAACACCCTTCTGGTCCCCCTTTTTTTTTTTTTTTTTAAAGAGAGATTTGTTTATAGGGTGTATACACTTGTCAGAGAGACAGACAGAAGAAGTGAGAGATCACCCCCGGGACCAGCCTTGTATAGTGATTAAAATGAACTTAGGATTCGCATCCCAGACCCAGCAGCTTGTAAATCACACCAGGAGCATGTCCATGCATGCCCAAAATGCCAGGAGGATAGTGAAGGAGAGGGGATTGTGTCATGGCCATCCCCCCTGGGGGTTGATTTCTGTCTCTCTGTCTTTCTGGCGAGTGCACGCACCCTATAGCAAAAACCTCTCCAAAAAAAAAAAGAAAGAAAGAAAAGAGAGATCACCCCCAAGGGGAATGGCCACACCATAATCCCTTCTCCTCCTTTCTCCTCTCCAGGATTTTGGGCACACATGCACATGCGACCAGTGTGAGTTTCAAACCTCCAGGTCTAGGACTCTAATCACAGTCAACCACATGGGAATCTAGCACCTTAACCACTATTCTCCACCTGCTGTTCCCTAGAGTGATTTTCAAGCCACTAGGTCTGGAACTCTAACCACAGTTTACCATGTGGAAGTCCAGCTCCTTAACCACTGTGCCACCTGCTAGCCGCCATAATCACGCCTAATCCTCACAGTCACTCATTTTATAGGTGAGGAAACAAAACTGAAAAATTAAGTGACTAAGTCAAGGATATATAGCTAATATTAGTACTATAGAAGACTGCTTTACCTACACAGCCACACTTAATTGTCACAACAGTCTTTCATGTTTTTTCTTTTTTTATTGCCAGAGGGTACACACACTCACCAGAGAGAGAGAGAGAAATTATCTCGGAGTATGGCCATGCCACAATCCCTTTTCTTTGTTTATTTTATTTTTTTATTTTAATTTGACCAGAGAAGAAAAGGGAAAGTGAGAAAGCAAGCCTGCCAGGTCCCGGACTCGAACTCTGGTCAGCCATGTGGGAGTCCAGTGTCCACCACACCACCTGCCGGGCCCCCCTCTTCTCCATTTCTCCATCCCATCAGGATCCTGGGTACACATGCACATAAACCTGGCATATTCCTCAAGTTGCTGGGGTGGGACTAGAATTGTGGTCAGCCACATGGGATCTGACTACCAATGCATAGCACCCACAAACCACTAGACTATGGGTCTAGTCCATCACAACAATCTTTTTTTTTTTTAAAGAATTATTTATTTCCATTTGTTGTTGTTGTTGTTGTTGTTGTTATTTCATTTGACCAACCAGAGACAGAAAGAGAGAAAGGGAAAGCACGAGAGCAAGCCATCAGGTCCAGGACCCGAACCTCGGTCAGCCATGTGGGAATCCAGCGCCTTTAACTATCACACCACCTGCTGGCCCCACAATAATCTTTTGAATTGGTATTCTTATTTTCCTATCATTTGGAGAAAGAAACAGGCTCATGCGACCAGCAGATGACGTTGTGGTTAAAGTACTGGATCCCACATGACCTGCTTCTCAGTTCAAATCCCAGACCCAGTGGCTTAAAAAAATGTGTCAGGCACATGTGCGTGTGTGCCCAAAATCCCAAGAGGAGAATGAAGAAGCAAATGTAACATGGCCATCCTCCCTGGGAGGAGTGATCTCTCACTTACTTTCTGTCTGTCTGTTTGGCAAGTGCATGTGCCCTATAGCAAAAACTTTTTTAAAAACAGGGGGTCGGGGGGGGACAAGTCAAAATGAAAAGTCTCTTGCCAGACCAAGTATTTAACAAATATCCAGCCTAGATCCTACCCCAGGTCTCACTACACTGCTATTTTATTGGTTTCTTTTCAGCAATAAAATTAGCCAGGATCTCTTCCCTCCCTAGTCCTTTCCTTCATCACTTCTGGCTAGAACCTGGTTTAGACACTAGCAAACCCCACCCCATATAGGACCACCAGTAATCTTTGAATCACGTGCAAAACACTGAGGTAAAGGCCATCATCTAGATACAGACCGCAATCTACAAGGTGCTTTTGAATCGTGGGCATCATGAAATCAGGCTGATGACACTGCAGACTTGGACAGGGCCCCTGTCTCACACTAGCTCAGCTTAGATACTCATTTCTTGGTGGAGGAAGGACCAGTGTGTGAAGAACAAGTGTTGCCGGCTTTGTGCTTCAGAGCTGAAGGGGGGCCTGGGTCACGCAGAGGTTCAGTTCAGCAGACCCAGCCGAGTAGTCAGCAGCAAGCCGTGGCTACTAAGCCTCCCCGGTGCCAGGCGTCAGACCGTGCCTGTGCAGTGGAGTGACTAATTTGGGCATTTAGAGTGATGAACAGTCTGGCTCTGCATCACTGGCCAGCAGAGTCGAAGGCCCTGCTTTCCAGAAGGGGAAAGCCACAGCCTAACGAGCTGCTGGCTGGTTTTCTCTCCGAAGTGTTTTCTTCCCTGCCTACTCTCTTTGTAGAAATCGCTTTCCTCGTATCTAGGTCTCGTGTGCTCAGGCGCTCCTACTCTTACTGCCTCTTAAGTAAGAGGTGTCTGGTGGCGTTTTGATGTCTTCCCCTAACCAAGTGGCGAGACGTCTGAGATGGGTTAGGGATGCTGAGGAGGAAATGAGCCACCGTCTCACACCTGAGCTGCACTTGCAAATTGCCCACTGCCAGCGCTGAGTAGGGTGCGCTCA